TCTCCCCTCTCTCTCCCCCTCTCTCTCTCTCTCTCCCTCTCTCTCTCTCCCTCTCTCTCTGTCTCTCTCTCTCTCTGACCTGATTCCGTTGTCAATCCTCAGTGTAAAGTAGAGTGTTCCACACGTTTGTCGAAAACTCCAGCACTGTCCCCTGCGGTTTCTATCCACACTTACATTCTCAAGTATCATCACCTTTCAGTTTGGATACTGCATCCCTCTCAGCCCTGGGGGTGGCCTCGGTGCTATAGTAATTGGGCTGAAACCATGGTCGACCCGACCCGTTCCGGGGTTTTTTTCAACGCCGGCGGAACGGATCCGTCAGTGCGGCCATAGTAAACCGACTTTTGGCCGACTTTCTGCCGGTTTGACGGCTGCTTGCGTCACTCGTTTCATATATCAAATTGGCGAGGGCTACTAGACGAAACAGATTGTTGTTTCTGCTCTGGTGCTTGAGGAAAAAGAAAAGAGGGGGTCTTCCAAGTTTTAGGTCCTCTCAAGAGAAGGAGAGCTTTGCATGGAAACTACCCCCACCTGACGGCCCAACTGCGCAATCACCCGTACAAGTTCCAGCAGTATCTCAGCAGGACCGTCTTTTGATGTTCGTCTTGAGCTGTGAGCAACCGATCTTGGTATTCTTAGAGAGAAGTCAACGAATTTCTTCGAAGTGATTTCACTTGCAGAGTTTCTTTTTTGTCCGTCTTCATCGGTTGCAAGGGGAAAGAACTGTTGTTGTAATTCATGGACAGAGTACATGTACTTCCCTTCCTACTTTCCTTTCCGTCGACCTGGCTGCAGGGCGGTTTGCACGACGGTGTGAAAATGCCGCGGCGTGCCGCCAGTTGTTACTGTAGCCGTCCATACCCGCCTCTGGTGGCGCCAGATAGCAGGTCAGACCGGCGGATTCTTCTCCCCGTCACCGCAAAAGAACGTCGTCGAAGAAAACCCGGAACGTGCCGGGTCTGCTTTGGCCTTAGCCTCCGTGTCCTTTGGGACAGACACGACCCGATTTTTGTGTCGGGAGGAGGAAAATCGGTCGGGTCGTTTCCGTCTTGAGTGTCCACACAGACCGGAATAGACACGTCTGGTCTGTTGGCCTACTTCTTCCCCGGATGTGTACGTCAGACGCTGTCGTGGCGGGCTGTGCTCTCGGTACGAGGCTATAAATAGTCAAAAGGTCACATTAACCCAAGGAGGGGAAAAGAAATTATAATGTACGGGTGTTAAATGAAAATAAGTAAAATTGTTAACATGCATTGAAGCCACGTGGTTTACGCGTCGATGTTGGTCTTTTCGAGGCGCTGATTACAAACGTGACATTAGATTTTTACTCCAAACTAAAAAAATAGAATTTTTGTTAGCTCCGGCGGGGCCTGTGGCTAATGAGTCACCACCTGGCCCGGCGGCTTTCCAACCGACACGTCTTTTGTCGGGGCGTGTCGTGTCTGTTGACATAGCCAAACGGAATTTTCACTGATTTCTTAGGGAAAAAAACCGTGCTCCATTTCAATTACCGACTTTCCGAGAGACGGACGGAATCGGGTCGGAGTCTGTTCCAGTGGTCACGCACGCTAACCGTCCGGTAATCGTGAGATTGCATGTTCCGGGGTTCGAGCCTCAGCTCGTTCCGACGTTGTGTCTTTGGGAAAGGAACTTTACACAAATTTCCCTTTTTGACTCGAACCTTTCGGAGCTAGACGTTTATCGTGGAGGTCCCGCCTCTTCAATAACCAAATACAAAAGGTAATGGCACTCCCCTTGAATCACGCAATCATTTTGTCAAGTTCAAAACTTAGTTTCTTTCTACATTGTATGTCTTAACTTATCCTTTCAGTAGAATTTTATGGTAAGATTTTCTCTCCTGTCTGTTTAATAATCTACAGTTACAAGGGAGGACAACAGTGTTATTTCAATTATTAATTTTGTCTTCTCCCCC